TCCACCAATTTAAGCAAAAAAAAAAAGATATACTTTTATTTTGGGGTAGGGTTCAACATACTAAAAACGCGGGTAGTATCATAGATTGCGGCTTGGCTGTGCCCCTGGCGTTGCTGATGTCCTTGAGCAACGGTGCCCATTCACCATCAGATGAGAACGCTAGTCTGTCAAAAGTGGCAATAAAAAAAATCGAATATACCTTATAGTTAGTTTGTAATTTGTAAGCCCGTAAGGTACAGCAAATGTAGGTGAAGGACTGCCCTAAACACGTCATTACGGGTCCTCCCGATCCATTAACGGTGCTTTTTGGTACCTCAAGCACCGGTCACCGTCCTCGTCGAACCCGTCGCTTGCGACCAAGGGCTCGACGAGTGAATTGACCCATAGACACAGCCCACTGAGTTTCTCGAGATTTTCTCAGTGGGTCGCGTTTCCGATCCGGTGGTAGATTGTGCGAAGCACTGCTCTTGCTGGGGCCAGTGTTAGCATCACTCCCGGCTTGAGCCCCGTGAGCTCACCTACACGCCAAGGAGAAGCTGAAATAGCCTCTGAAGGCTATCAGCATAGGTAGGAATAAAAATAATTAATAATTTCTTAAGAACTCGCTTTAGAAGAAAACTGTATCAATGGCGTCGAAGGAAGGATACGACATCTGATTCAGCTACCTAATGACATTGACTATATTGAATATACCGCGTTCATTATAGACTCGCTTCATTATAGTTATATGCAGCTTAATTTAATAGGTATACTATTTACTCTTTTACGTGGATCTCCGTAACAGAAAATACCAATTTACCTTAATTAAGTTGCATAATGGTTTTTTTTTCATTAGCATAATTATTCCATTAACGCCTTTGACATATTGTTATGTAATATATGAAGTGTTTCAGAATGGTCCGCGCGGGCAGGTACCACCACCCTGCCTTTTTCTGCCGTGAAGTAGTAATGCGTTTCGGTTTGAAGGGTGGGGCAGCCGTTGTAACTATACTTGAGACCTTAGAACTTATATCTCAAGGCGGGTGGCGCATTTACGTTGTAGATGTCTATGGGCACCAGTAACCATTTAACAACAGGTGGGCTGTGAGCTCGTCCATCCATTTAAGCAATAAAAAAAAGAATAAACAATAAAAGACTTAATTGTGTTTTTTGTGATATAATAAGAAAAAAATCTATAAATCCACTCTCTCTTTTAAAAATTAATATTAAAAATTAAACAGTATTAATAAACTATACAAAACTGGAACTCTCTTCTTTCTCTACTGAATGACAGACTTCACTCCATGACACTGAAGAAAAAATCCTTTTTTAAAACGAATGAGTTTTAATTAATAAAAGCTTTTCTTTAATATAAATTGGATTGTATAGTAATTGTTCTAAGATTTTGAAACCGAACTTACCACAGTTTTTCTACAGAATTAGGCAAGAGCAACACATTTACTCATGAATGTGTATCTTAACGTTTCATTCAGAGCACTCTAAGTCTAATATCTACCAGTTATCGCTCAAGCGAGGTCACCTAACATCTCCTGACCTGTACAGTCGTAACAGAGTATCACCAAAAACGATGTGCGAAATTTATCGCTAACGTATTTACGAATTTGTACCATAAATCAATATCAATAAAGCCTTGTTCTTACTAGGCGAGTGTTTTAGTCGAGTACCGAGTAATTTAGTAGCTAAATGTGTCTGAGCACCAAAAATTTAGTCGTGTAGGTTAGTAAATAACTTAGTCACTTTATCACTGGTGGTAGGACCTGTTGTGAGTCCGCGCGGGTAGGCACCACCGCCCTGCCTATTTCTGCCGTGAAGCAGTAATGCGTTTCGGTTTGAAGGGTGGGGCAGCCGTTGTAACTATACTGAGACCTTACAACTTATATCTCAAGGTGGGTGGCGCATTTACGTTGTAGATGTCTATGGGCTCCAGTAACCACTTAACATCAGGTGGGCTGTGAGCTCGTCCACCCATCTAAGTCAATTCAATCCATTTTGTTCTATTTTTTCGGGCGAGTAGCGAGTAGTTTAGCCACTAAACTACTAGGCACTCAACTAAAATACTCGCCTAGTCCGAACAACGCTTAAGAGTGCGTGTTAAATTTTCGAAAAGCTTTTTGAACCGAGCACAGATTCGAACTCTCCTCCCTTTGTTAGCTGCAGTACGGCCACGTTTTAACCACGTAATAGAACGCAAAGATACAGTTATAAAATTTACTGCCTATAAATATAGGGATCGAACTATGAATGCTGCGCAGCGAACATACTTCGAAACTAATGGGCCGATCACATGTTTTATGGGTATTAATGAAAATTCTGTAATTTCTTCAGTCAGCGCCGCTGAGACTGATCGCTATACAAGTACAGCGTGAGCTTTCAGAAATGGAAGTCCCTTAACAAACAGCGATTGAATCGATTATAAATACAATATATAGTACCGCAGTACATAGCACATATAGTAATTCCAATCGTGAAGGTATATATTTAGATTTTCGCTTAAAACGCTTCTTATTACATACAGTTTTGTGTTTTAAAGTCATTGTTATGAATTCCCAAAAATTTACCATCTATTACATTTTTTTATTATGATTTAGAAATTTTGCATACTTAACGTTTTTGATAATTATGATGAAAAAAGTAAAAAAAATTAACTATTATTTAATACAACTCCATCACCGATATCTAAGGTGATTTTTAATTAAAAAACACATAAATTAATAAATATGTTTTCGATAAACACAAAATACACAAAAGCAACTTCAACGTAATCACGTAATAAATAACAAAAAAAAAACATTTATTTTTTTTCCTTAATAATTTGGCACAATCATCGACGCATTGTCGCACAGTAACAATACCAATTCGAGCATGTATATCTATAGTACTCATCTAGGAAATAATTCTGCAATATCTTTGTGCATGCGTACATACTAACGCATTCTTCGCGAACATGCAAACACACACGCACATACAAAATAAATGTACTTAACCGACACAGGCACGCGCGGCTGTGTGCGTCAGTCAATGACCTCTGCATGCTTGCACTACAGGCTAAAAGAGCACGCTCGTTTTATTATGGTCTTGTTTAAAAAAAAATTATGTTTAAGCGACCATTTCTTTCAGCGTTGGGATAGGTCCAGGATTTCGCGCGAGCTCACTAAGCCGTTTCGTAACAAACCTTTTTTTTTTTTTGTTACTCATTAATATTAGGACGTGACTGTTCAAAAAATTATTGTCAATCAACCATTGTACGGGAATTTCAAATGTATCTGAATTTGAAAATGGAACGAATTGTTTTAGTTTTCGATTGTATAGGGCTCTGCGTTTTTGGCGCGCGAAAGAATCCGATCATCCAGGTCATTGCTCTCGGCCGAGTAAAAGTATTTCGGTTTTGTTTTAAAATCGGAACCGAACGGTCGGTCCGGCATTAAGGTAGGTCAGAGATTCGTGACGTCAGCAATTCAAAACAGTTTTTTTTTCTTTGTAGACAGACGCACGTAACTTTTAAAATTACGCTACCGGAAATTATGGGAATGTTTTAACAGGATTTTTTTGTGTAAAATTAGTTTGCCATTAAAATAAAGTCTGACACGTAAATTAACTTTAAGCATTAATAAAATTGTTTAAGCATGAACAATTAAGTAAACAGTGACTAAACTTAATATTAACGTGCGGCTTAGTCCCAAACACATTTTTTTTTTTATATCTCTCTTTGTGTTCGTATAGGTCGTGATTTTGGCGCGCAACTGAAACGATCCGGGTCATTCGGTTGTGGCTCAGGAACCGGTCCCCCGTGACCGTGGTTGCGTAACCCTTTCGGTTACCGTTAATGTCGACGCTCCAACCGGGAACTACACGTTCGATTTTCGTATTTTGCATTTATTAGTTGCCATCACCGGCCGTTTGAAAATCAGAACGGTTTTATTGAATTTCGAACGTTTTAAAAAATCGTGTTCATTGTTCGAAGACGTATAATGGGTATTTAGGATGAGATTTGTAGCTGGATCGGTGTTTGCCGGACAAATGTGAATATTTGGCATATTATGTCAATGTCTAAGTTCGAATTTGACGTCAACTGTCCCGCCATAGAGATCAGATTCAAACAGAACGGCTTGAACTCAGAAAGCGCGTTACAATTATTATGAACTGAAGATAGGGAGAGTAGTAAAAAAAGTTGTATAGATTTTTTTTCAAACAAAGCTACCATTTCGTACGAACATCGAAACAGTGCAATATTTTGAGATCACAGGCCCGTATCTCCTGTTTTATGGCTGTTCACATTATCAAATCTAAATTTAAAGCTGAATCACTTATACAGAAAGCCGAATTAAAAATGAATTACTGCTTTTTTTGTTTTAATTAAGTCGTGCTTTAAAGCTATTGTCATCAGTCCTCGATGCGCGCGCGAGTGAGTGTTCATGTCGATCAGACGTCTTGAAGTTGGTCAAAAAATATGTTGAAAGATTACATTACATCGATAGAGACGGGACATGATAATTAAAAGCGTGTTAAAATTAATGTTTGTCTGTTTGTTTGTTTGTTTGTTTGTCTGTGGTGCATTTATACAGCTGTTCGATTACCTAAAGCATTGTGTAGCCTCTGTTGGTCCTTGAGAAGAAAAATTATAATATTATCACTATCGTTCAACAGATGGCGCGCGCTAATTTCAAATTCACATGCCGTACCTACTTATTAATCCTTTTTGTTTTATTGCTTAGATGGGTGGACGAGCCCACCTAGTGTTAAGCGGTTACTAGAGCTCATAGACATCTACAACGCAAATGCGCCACCCACCTTGAGATATAAATTCTAAAGTCTCAGTATAGTTACAACGGCTGCCCCACCCTTCAAACCGAAACGCATTACTGCTTCACGGCAGAAAGCGGCAGGGTGGTGGTACCTACCCGTGCGGACTCACAAGGGTTCCTATTCATTCATACAATTCATAACCAATTCACAAAAAGACTGTTTTTAACACTGGTTCACACGGTTCCCTTCGCCACCAGGCGAGCGGCCATATAAATGCCATCTACCAGACTGCGGGCGGGCCTTCATCCAGCTATCGAATCTGCAGCAGCACCTCCGGAACCACGACGCCCAGGTCGAGCGGGCCAAGAACCGGCCTTTCCACTGCAACATCTGCGGCAAGGGCTTTGCCACGGAGAGCAGTCTGAGGACCCACACGGCCAAGGTCAGTATTTAATTACAACTGAATCTTCTTTTCTTGCTTCAGTTTCCTCAATACTGAGGGTCGTGACCACCTCCTCGCAACAAGAGCTTTTTTTTTATTGCTTAGATGGGTGGACGAGCTTACAGCCCACCTGGTGTTAAGTGGTTACATGGGCATCTTGAGATATAAGTTCTAAGATCTCAGTATAGTTACAACGGCTGCCCCACCCTTCAAACCGAAACGCATTACTGCTTCACGGCAGAAATAGGCAGGGCGGTGGTACCTACCCGCGCGGACTCACAAGAGGTCCTACCACCAGTACCGTTCCACTCGATTTTCCTCTATCTGCTGCCGAGTGTAGAGCATCGTGAACTGTGGTGTCAAGGGTAGTGCGGTACTGATCAGTCCAACGTGCAGGGCATCTACCTCGTGGTCTTCTTCCGTTCACCTTACTTCACACTTTTATCAAATTTTGAGAAACAGATAGATGCCTTCAACGCCGCAATAAAATAATTACTGGAACAAAACCAAAATTTAGTTTTTAAACATCCATCGAGGTTGCGTGAAACGTGAATACCTCTTTAGCATTTTATTGGCTATTAACAGTGTCACTGGCAATGGCACTTTGGTCTTTCGGTGCTGAAAGCTGATGGTATACCAACCTCACACTTACTACCTCTTGTATGAGAACCACGCTCGGCTGCCACTCATTGGCCTGTCTGTGATAGCAAGGGTTGTCAAGATTGACGTAAACTCTCTTTACTAGTAAAAGCTTGATCATTGAGGTCATTCTATACATTTGAGACTTCAAGCTCTCGTGTCTCAAGACTGTCTAGATTAAGCTTAAATTCTCGTGGACTTTGATAATCAATCAATATAAAGCAATTATAAGATAATATTTTATGCTAATGTCACAACCCTAGTCCATGGAGGTAATATCAATGTATAATTCAGCTCGTCGTAATATACAAATGTTAAATTTAGGAATGTTTTACGAATTCACGTCATGTTAAGCACTTTTCGTATCATATAATATTTAGCTAATAAATAAATTAATGAATTTTATTATTTTTCACTGTTATAAAACTTTAAAAAAATATTTTATTTCAATTTTTTTTTATAGAAATAAATTAATTTTTTCGTTTCATCCAATTTGTAAACGTTAACTTTTCTTTATTTTCAAAAACGAAATTCAAGTTTTGGCTAAAATTTTTATTTCAAAATTCCCTTTCGACTTTTTTAATAATGTGTTATTTATTTGTGATGCTAACATTTTGTGCTATGCCCCCATCGCCTCCTCGACGGCACAGGAGCTTCAGCTGCACCTTGGTGTTTTGCAGCAACACGCGGCTCTCATGATAGGTGGCGCCACTGCCACTCCGTGCCCAATATGCCACAAAGTTGTGTTCGGGGGCGAAGCCCTAGTTGAACACATGAAGAATACACACAAGGACCCGAACGCGTCCGGCGTTGCCAGTAAGTTCGCCGAATCGGACGTTCGGTTTTTAAAATTAAATCTCTCTCGGAACAGGATTTCGATTGTGTGCAATGTGTTCATTTTTTTTTGGAACGTTTTTCAAAAAAAGAACATCAGTTTTCCAATCGAACTGTTTTTTTTTTAAAAACGTTCGAATTCTAAATTTAGATTAAGAATCGTCTCGTTTGTTCGACGCTTCGAATTTGAATTTTTGTTATTTATTCTTATCATAATAATATTATTAAAATGTTTCACTAAAATCGGACGTCTACAAACGAGATCTAATAGTATTTAAGTCTAGCCAACTGGATGTTTGTTTACGTAAGAAGGTCTCGCTCCGGTCATCGTCACATATATTCTTTTGGACGCACCGTACATAATAGGTGCTTACGAACATCGGGACACAAAGTATTTTCGCATTACAAAAGCTTCCAGTTGGCACGAAGCCACAAGGGGTGTTGGTTGTGAAATCAACGGCGAAACAAAAACGTATCGTTTCCATAAATTTTAACGTGTAACTTAATAAATAAGCGCCGTCGGAACGCCATCCCAAGCAATGGATGTTGTTACAGAACCATTATAGGGTTCGCTCTGTGTTTTCCAAACATTTCGTCTTCGTTATATTCGAATACACATTCTTCGGTTCGCGTTCCGAAACTATCACAACACAATCATGTTTACGTTTTCTTATTGACATTTCGTTGTTTTATTTGTTACGTTCATCGGTTTCTTGTTATGATTTGCGTAAATTGATTTTGTTAATACTGGTTTTGTTATTTTATGTTACGTCATTGACGTTCTGTTTCGAAATTCAAAACGATTTCGAATATTATTCGTTGGTTAATTTTTTTTTTCTTTTTCTTTTTATTCCGACCACTCAACAAATTAGCTTTAGAACAAATAGAGTAAGACAGGCGACTTTTTGTGTGATATCAATAAATCTCTTACAAAATAAAGTTGCACAAGCTCACCCCCCCTATACAAACAGAAAAAGTCGTCTACTGCAATATATTAAACTAACAGCAACTAACCTGAGTTTTTTTTCTTTTTCTCCCCTCCTCCCCCTTACCTAACCCACTAACCTATCCTGGTGGTGTCGGCACAGGTCCTCCTGCGACATCACCGTACCCAGCTCAAACTAAACCTACTGATCCTTATATAGCCAAGCGGCGGACCGCGAACCACCCGTGTCCTGTCTGCGGTAAACATTACGTCAACGAAGGGTCCTTGAGGAAGCATCTGGCCTGTCATCCAGAGACGCAACTCACCAGCGGCCTGCGCATGTGGCCTTGCTCCGTCTGCCAAGCTGTGTTCACGCACGAAAGCGGTGAGGATGCGTGCGGTCTTTGAAGCAATGCCATCAATAGACTTGGTCTTATAAGTGTTATCTCTGATTACAGGACTGCTGTCCCACATGGAGCATATGAGGATGGAGCCTAAGCACCAGTTCGCGGCTCAGTACGTGCTGTCCCGCGCGGCAGCCGAGCGCCGGGAACGAGACATCCTCGCGGCAGTGTCGGCCTCCGCTGGAGGATCCGGCCTCCTCAACCTCGCGCCGCCCTCCCCCGCACACTCAGACTCCTCGTCTAACGGGCGACTGTCTTCATCAGCCGGCTCCGAAGCCGGAGCGGCTGTCAACAAACTCTCAGATTTATTGCGCTCGGCGAACAACGGGCATCAAGCATACGGAGACGAGAGGGTCGCGGCCATCGCAGCGGCCGCAGCGAACATGATGGCGCAGCCCGGGGAGGGGCCGAATGCGGTACAGGTGGCCGCCGCGAACCTCGTGTCGGCCATGAGGCAACAGCTCGCCCGGGAGCCGCCGCCGACGCAGCCCCCCGCTGATAATCCACCCGCGCCATCCGAAGCCGCCCTCAGGATCCAGCAAGCTGAAGCCCTACTGCGGAGTCAGGCCGAGGCGCTGCGACTGGCCGTCTCACAGGCTGCGCAGGCGCAGGCGCAGGTCCACGCCCCTGAGGCCGTCAGTCCCTTGAGACACAACGGAGGATTCCCACCGCAGCCACCGAACGACGCGACTGGGCAGCTGTCCCCAGAGCTGGTCGAGGCGTTCCGGATCGCGCAGGAACAGAGACTGGAGCAGGCGCTGCGGCTGCACGACCCGAGGATGTTGGGCTTCAACCTGCCATCGCCCGTGCAGCAGGCGGCACAGCAGGCGGTCGCGGCACAACAAGCCGCGCAGCAAGTCGCACAAGCCGCCCAAGCCGCCCAGGCCGCCCAGGCTGCCCAGGCTGCCCAGGCCGCCCAGGCCGCCCAGCACGCGGCCCAGCAAGCCGTCCAACAACAACACATGCAGCAGCAAGCCGCCCAGGCCGCCCAGCAAGCAGCACAACAAGCTGTCCACCTCCAACAGAACCCGCAACCATGAAAATTCACCTATTACTAATCCGACGCGATTTCAATACATCCAATAGTAGTTAGTGATTTATGGAATATACAAGACTAAGTATTAATTTTGCGAACGAAAAATAAAATAACAAATATATACATATGTACATATATATATTTCCATAGTATTTTTAGAACGAAACATTTATTTGGTCGATCGGAGCATAAATCGAAATCGCCTCTGGTTAGTAATCGATTTTATTAAGTCTACGATTTTATTCAATTACAATCGCCATACAATCGAAACAAAATCGTTGAGTTCACTTTGACATAAAATAAAGAAAATTCAACAAACGTAAATAATTGATTATATGTTTATACATATATAGCTCTAACCGTTGTATATAAAGGAGTTAGCGGAAACAATTAATGTAATGTAAATAATAAATAAATATATATGTATTAAAAGTAAAATTGACAAAAAGAATTATGAAAAGGAACAAAAACTCGCCCGAACAATTTAGATATAGTCCGACTTCAACAAAGGTTTGTATGATTAGTGCAATCTTTTTAAACATAATTATATTGTTTATTTCTTTTCATTGTATTTTACACTTTGTTTTTCGTGTTTAGTGCCCTTAGTGCTAATTTATGAAGTGCCAAAACTGTTTTTAAGCACTCTCTTTAAGCACCGGACGGAGCTTTGCGAACACGTAATCGACGATTGGTAGTTAAAAAGTTTTTTTTTTGTTTTTTTTTAACTTTTTCATGCAATAACACGTCTTATGCTAGTCACATTTTGAAGCGCGCATATATTTATTTTCATATAAATATAATATAAAACATACATATTTTTTTAATTTTTATTTTCTTTTTTATTAATTTTTTTTGTTTTTGAACATTTTATTTAAAAAAAAAAGTTTCATATTATATATTATTTCGAATGCCATACTAGATAATAACAATTGTAAATATATTTAAATTAAAAAAAACAAAAAGCTCTGTAAACAGCATCGAAGCTTCAATGATTGAACTTTTAATTTTATAATAATTCGAGACAGATAAAATTAAATATTTGAACTATATACAAAAACAAAAGTCTGTATCGAAAAAATATTTCCTTACAGAAGACTGCCGATTTTATTATCAACATATTAATTATTATTTTGTAAATACATTTTTTACTAATACAAAAAAAAAAGATATTGGATTGAATTTATGTAACGGAAATTGAAATGTTTTATCGAAATTCTAATTTTATACGATAGTTTAATGCCATTAAGTGGTAATGTACAAGAAAATAGCGCCTTCTCACTGAACAAGTCACGTAGTCCACCAACGGACACTAGACGGGGGCGGCGCCCGGGCCCGCCGGGACCGCGCCACCAACCCGACACGAGACCCACACGAGACATTCTACTCAACACGGATGCTCAGCCCAAGTTCATAAATATACATAATTATTTATCGTTTCATTTTCACATTACAATACGTATTTTTAAATGTACACACAATAGCCCAGATGATCATATAAACAAATACATTGGAGTACAATTATGTGCTCGGAGTTGCCATTGCAATAAATAGTCTTACAGTAATATTTCGGGTCCGCGGACCGGTTGCCCCCCCTCAGGAGCTGGCCCCCGGGGATGAGGGGGGACAGGGGGGGCAAACGTTGCGCGGACATTTTGTTTTTTTTTTTAATACTAAGGGAATGTCAAGTGTTGCCGAATTTATTTAATGTATTATCATCATGTCTTATAAATGTAAGGAAGAGGCGGACTACAATGATTTTTGATTAGAAAGACGTTTCCTGTTCGTTGTTTGAATCGATCGAGAATTCTTGTAGTCCGCGCCGTATGTGCGTATATTCGTAATAGTTAAGATAAATAGTAAGCTGAATTTTTAATGTACGTAATTATTTCATACTTGTATTATCAACATCGGGACGGATGGTACGGGAACTTGCCGAACCTTCGTGCCGATGGGACGTAATAATAATAATAATAAAAAAAAACAAACGAACAATAGCCCGAATATTGTATTTTATGATTTCACTTGATTTCTCAATTATTATTCGTTGAACACACAAAAACATTTGGCGGGTTTTTTCTATTATTTTTATTTTTATTTTGGTGTGAAACGGCCAGCAACATCGGACGCGAAGCTCTAACTATTGGTACGTTTTCTCGGAAACGTTTGGAGACGAGAAAAAAAAATGAATAATTCGAATTTCGAATCCACGACCACAGAATAAACAAACAGATTATGACTAAACATAAACCAACATTTGAAAGATGATCGCTATTTATGTAAAAAAACACACACACACACAAAAAGGTCCTCATAAATAAATACTTGTAAAAGATAAATTTTTTAAATGTAACAACAAAAGAAGTTCCTATCAAAATATTGTATAAAATGTATTGTTTTTTAAATTTAGGTCTTAGTGGAGAGAGATGGAGGTGGTGAAAAAATTTACGAACGTTCGGATATTTTTAAAAGTTATTTAAAACTAAAAATACGAAAAAAAAAATTATAATTAAAATTAATAATAATATTAATATTAATGAAGAATTATTGAAATTTATCGCGTCCGGGCACCGAACCCGGGCCGAGATGTACAAAAAGAAAGCACGGCTCGTGAATCCTAAGATTAGATGTGTAGATCGCGATTTACGTTTCCCGGGAAAGTGTTCAAATCTGCGACGCGATTCCGCGGGTTTAATACACACTAAAGCATGCTTGTGATTGAAAAATTCAAGCATGATTTTGGGAGATTCAAAATTTAGACGCGGTGATGTGACGCGTAATGACGCGGTCACGCGGAATCGTGACGCAGCAAACTGTGATCAAAAAAAAAAAGCGAAATAG